TGGTGCCGGTGCCGGTGCTGGCACGGGAAAATGGATCCCCCTCTTCCACATCCCCTCGCCTCTGCACTTCGGCCTCCCTGACTTTGTTGACCAGCACCTGTGTCTAGTGATCAAGAGTTTTGGTGCTGCCAGTGCACATGCTCCCTTTCACCCTTGGGTCACACATGCCCACCATCATGTGGACCCTACTGGACTGCAAGGGATCTAGCTGTCTCCTGATGCCCTCCTTCAGCCGCCTCACTAGTGCCTGCACGTCTGGTGACAGCGGCTTGCACCAGCCAGGAACATTGATCCCCTGGAACTTCTCCATTTGGTTCTCAAGCTCCCTCACTATGGGGTTCACCTAGCTGAGGAGGGCATTGCCAGAGCTAAGGGTCTTGGTGGCCTTGAGGAAGGGCTTGAGGACCACCAACATCTTGGAGAGGGTACCCCACTCAGCTCTGTAAAGGGGGCCACTGATCCCTATCTCTCCAAGCAAGGCCATTTCATGGATGGCCTTCTGTTGCTTCAGCAGCCTTTCGAGCATCAGATATGTGGAGTTCCACCAAGTGTCCACATCCTGCATGATTTTGTGCTGTGGGATGCTTGGCTCTGCCTTTTTCTCCCACAGCATATTGCCCCCCCTTGATGCTGAGGTGGAAGTAGCCCGCCACCTTCCTGCATTTCGAAATCACTTGGCTTGTAGCAGTAGTGGTGGCAGCACCATCACCAGCAGCCCTGTCCCCCTCCAAGGCATCCCTTACTATGAGATGCAGCCTGTGTGCCACACAGCGGATGTCAACAAAGTTGGCATCATGGACAGCCTTCACCATATTGGCTCACCCGTTGTTGGTGACTATGAACCCATGGGTGAGCTTGGCCTGCCCAACAAGCTACCTCTGCACCATGCAGTTCATGGCCCCCATGACCTCTCTTGCTGTGTGGGACTCATCCAGCACCTCAGCTTGCAGTAGAGTGCACCAACAGCCTGACTGAGTGCACCAGTGCCCTCTGAGTGAGAGGTAGGTGTGATCGCCACTCTGGCTGCTCCAGATTTCTGAGGTGAAGTGCAAAGCTACTTGCAGCCCTGCCTTGCGCAGCTCCTCCCTCAAGTAATCCCGACATGTTTCATACAGGGAGGGCACCACCGTCCTGCTAAAGGTGGTGCATGCAGACACTTTGTAAGATGGGGCCAGAAGTGCTATGACCCTCCTGAACCCTGGCCACTCAACTGGGGAGAAGAGCTGGCTATCCGGAGCGAGCATCTCCCCAATAGTCTGGGTGATCTTGCTTGCCTTGGGAACGCACCCCGCTTTCTGCCACAGGTCCAGGGTGGCCTGCCTCTGCTTTTGGTGGATGGGGGCTTTGGAGTGAGTGGGGGACTTCCCCTTTGGCACGCTCACACTGGTGCCAGGCTGAGCAACAAGAAGGGCAAGGGGGTGCTGCCTCCTCAGATGCAGCAGCATCGCCTTTGTGGAAAAGTGTTTTGCATCCTTGCCACAGCTGATGTGCCTTTGGCAGTGCTGGCAGATGGCAAACCTGGGATCATCTGCCAGCTCAAAATGCTCCCACACTATGCTACTCACCTGCTTCTGGGTTGAGGGTGAGGATCCTGCCTTGTCCCACTCCTCAGCAGGCTGAGGCTCAACAGCAGGAGGAGTTGCCTCAGCTGAGCCACTTGCCTTCACAACCTCAACCTCCTCCAAGGTGCTGCTTTCCGGAGGAGACTAGGGGAAACTTGAGGGGGTGGAACACAAACTCTGATTCCCCCTCAGACCCCAGAATTACTTGAGCCAGTGCACTCAGCATCCATGGTTCCAGCTCCAGCTCCTCCTCTGGCAGTGGGAGGCTCACGCTGAGAGATGACATTGGGGTGGAGGAAACAGTGATTCCACTGCTGGTGCCTACTTCTGGACTGAGGGGAGGTGGTACAGGTACAGGGACATCATGTGCAGACACTGCTCCCACCTCCTTGTTTCCACTGGCAGCACTGATGTCCTAGCTGCTTGGGAAGAGAATGCATCTATGTTTGCGGGAGGGGGGGGACTTGCAGCTCTAGCTCTCCGCCTACCACTTTTCCCTCCCCTGCCAGAAGATCTGGCACCTGCCTTTCCACCACTCTTCCTATTAATCTTTTCTGTGCTGCAAAAGGTGTGTGTGTGTGTGTGTGAGAGAGAGAGAGACACTCCTTTTGTGTTGTGTTTTATTCCCTCTGTGTTGCATGCATGCACTGGACTCTTCTTTGATTGTTTGCTTCAGTAACAAGAAGTGTTAAGAGCTATGTAAAAATTGTCTGCTGTCTGTCTATCTGTTTTCTTCTCCGCTCCAATGTGTTTATTTAGTGTGAATTTTGAATGTGAAGTCTGACTTGTGTGTTTTCTTCGCTCTCTTTTATTCCCTCTGTTGCATGCATGCATTGGACTCTTCTTTGATTGTTTGCTTCAGTAACAAGTGTTAAGAGCTATGTAAAAAATGTGTGCTGTCTGTCTTCTTCTCCTATGAATGATTTTTCTTCTTCTGTGTGTGTATATTATAAGTGTGTGAGTGTGTGTGTGCATGGGTGCAATCTATGTGCCTCCTTGCACAGTGATGGATCATGCTGGCAGGGAAAACACAGCTTTCTTTTTTCAAATTTTGAAAAAAAAAAAAGAGCAAATGTAAATTGAAATAAATGAATTGAATAGTAGTAAGAGATGCTAAGCTAAGCTAAACTAAGCTAAATCCTACCCAATCCTTTCTAACAACAAAAAGGAGCAGGCAAGTTCAACTGCTGACTAAAGCAAGACAGGCAGAGTTGCCACAGTACCTTTCTCATACAGATCCCACGACAGAACCAGCTTACAAAAGGCCCCTGACAGCTGCAAACAGAGGCTTTTATGTTGTTCCTAGGTCCCTCCCCCTAGACACTGTAATTGGAAAGGCAGCCAGAGAGAAATCCTGCTCATGCTTGCCCCCCCCCCTCTTTTAAGTTTCTGTTTCCCCACACAGACAGCCCTCTGAAGCACTGAATCTTTTCCATATTGGTTCGGAAGCTCCAAACCAATTCAGAAAGCCTAAAGCAGCCAATGCTTCATTTTGGACATGCTGATTTGGTGTCTGAATCATCCACATCTTTTCCGAATCCAAAGCACGGACTGAAGCCTCACACAGCCCTAGTATCCAGGTTGTAGCTGTATTGGTCTAGAGAAAAAATCAGTAAGGGCTCATGGTAGAAATGATATAATTTATTAGACCAACAATATTTTTGCAAAAATAATGTCTTTAATTGCAAGCTTTCAGGCACAAACACCCTTCATTAGTCATTGGAGAAAAGATTCTAAAAATTTTCCTGGGTAGAAATGAAAGTTCATATTTCATATGATTTCACAGGATATAACCTCTACCATGAACCCTGATTGCTTTTTCCTCTAGACCAATATGACTACAACCTGGATACCATCCCTAAGAAGGTACAGTTTAGGGTTATCAGAGGCAGTCAACGACTTCCAAATACACCTGTAAAATGCCAACTATGTACAGAAAAAAATCAGATTTATTTTAAAAAGAGAGGTGCTCCCTCAGTTGGATCAGCACCCATTGTTGTTAGAATGTTACCATAAATACCTTTTATTTGAATGATGCACCATTCCTCTTTACAGTGTGATTCTTTCTTCAATTTAAAGTTAGTGGGTTCATGCACTAAACTTACTATTCTACCATCAAGGAATGGGTGGTAGCAGGAGAATCCCCCATCCTGCACCTGCTCCTTACCTTCTCCACCCAGGTGTACCCTGCCAAGCTAGAAGCAAATGCTGAAAGGGGAGACCCACCTGCTGCCACACTAGTCCTCAGCTAAGCATGCACTGCATGCAGCTGCTCCCTATAGCCCTAGCTAAAGAAGAACAGGAGTGGCTCTAGGGCTCCCTCCTCACTTGGGTTAGTTGAGATAACAGCAGCAATGGCTGAGTCTCCCCTTCCTGCGTCTGATCTCTGGTTGACTCCCTGATCTCCCATGCCAGCCCTGGACTGGATGACTTTGTGAGGTCCCTTTCAGCACTACACTCCTATGATCCTAATTTAGATGAGGTTTCCAGTTAAATTCAAAATTAATGACATTTCAGACAGCTACTATACTTGTTTCTATTGTAATCTATGTGAAATAAAAATCTGTTTTCTATCATTTTTATTTTTTTCTATGAAATACAACATTTTTAAAGAAAAATTTTGAATGAAAATTCTGTGATGGAAAATTTGACATTATTTTTTCTGAAATGCTTTGAGTAGTTTAAAACAATGGTTCTAGAGAAAGGTGTGAAGTAATAAATTAACCTTTTGATTTAAAGGCTAATTTAAAATGCACTAATAATAACGATTAAAGTATGTTTTGTAAAAAAATTAAAATAAAATAGTTTGTGTTGCTCTTTTTTAGGATATGCTGCAGAATTCTCCTAACTCAATGACTGCAGTATCCAACAATCCCCAGGGAATCATGGTACCTGCATCAGCAATACAGCAGGGAAACATCTCAATGACAACAGTCAACTCACAAGTTGTGTCAGGTGTGGAATATATCAATGACCATTCAGATCACATTTGTTGTATGCTTGTATTTTTGTTTTTTTAGATGACAAGAAAAAAAAACAACCTTATGTCTGAACAGACACATCAAATGTCTGTAAATTGAAAAGCATGGCATGGAAATAGGCAGCACTTTGTGTTTATAAATCTCTGGAAACTCAAAAGGCATTTTCTGTCCTAAAATGGAACATCTGGTTTTTGGCTTGGTGGCACTGTGGCTCTTTCTCCCCAGAACAAGACTTCATAGTACTGCATGTTGGCCCCTTGTTTATCAGTGGTTTTTGTTTTTGTTCTTTTTCCTAAAGCCCATCACTTTGAAAACTGGTTTGGATCATTCATTTCAGCAATACTTTCCCTTCTTTCACTAGTAACTAACAGCTCAGGATCTCTTTTTTTCGTGGCAGGGTTGAGGCATTAGCCTTCTGTCATTTCTATTTTGCAGAACATAAAATCCCATAGTTTCATCAACCTTCTTCTTTGAAACCTGAAACCTGTCTGTTTCAAAAAGTTATCATTCTATGGCCACCCCAAGTTCAACAAATCTACAGAGCTCTTGGCTTTTCAGGGACTGATGTTATTTTGTATCATTTCTGAAAATGAAATTACCTTTGGCTTGAGCTTAAGGAATGGAACTAGACATGGTTTATGTGGCTTGTCCTTCCCCCATGCCTTTGTGTTAGCAACTGAACTAAATGTGCTTTTTTCAAAGTGGTCTTCCCACCCTATATTTGTCAACTGGGGCCAATACAATGGGTCTGTGCTTGACCCTCCTTCTTCACTAACCAAAGTTCATAGATACCAAGTTTGTTTGTTTTTACCCTAAAGCTCTGCTTTGAACCATATCTCTTTGTTAGGTGGAACCCTTTACCAGCCTGTAACTATGGTAACATCTCAGGGCCAGGTGGTAACCCAAGCAATCCCCCAAGGAGCCATACAGATCCAGAACACACAGGTAAGTCAACTGGGGTCAGGATGTCTGGTGTTTGGCCAGAGCACTGGCTTCCTTAAAACTTTAAAACAGGGGTAGCCCCAAGAAAAGAGCTCAGTCACTTCCATTTATTCCATGCTCTGATATCTTCCCACTCAACTACTCTGCCACATTTTTCCTTTCACACTTGGTCTTACTTCTAGGCCTCTCTCATTTTGCTCGCTTCCACATTTTCTGTTTATACTCTTGCTGTTCTCTCCCTGTGTGAGCTCTTTCTACTTGTGCCCTTCTTCTTGCTCTCTCTTCTCACATACTCTCTCATTCTCAGTCCATTTTCTGTCTCATACTGTCTCCCCTCTCTCCTGTAAAATGGTAGAATTGCTTACAAACAAGAATTATCACTACTTTTAGATGAACTTTAGGTCTGGAGATTTGTGACAAGCTATTTGGGAATGAGTGACAGATGAGTGTATATAGCTCTCATTAAAGCCAGTAAGATTTATGTGTCTGCAAGTGATGGGAAGATCAGATCCAGGGTGTCTAGCTGAACCTGTCTAATACTTTAAGTAATAATTACTGTCATGGGGAGTCAGAGTCACTGCATACATATCATGTGAAGAGGTGCAGAGGTCTGAAACAACTTAATGAAGGCTCTGGTCAAATAATGGGCAGGGATGATTATTCACTGATCTTACTGTAATAAAATTGGCAAACTGATGTAGGTCTGTGTTTATCCCCATACATGCAAACTGCAGTAAGATATTGTCACCTAAGCAGGCCTAGCTTAATCCTAATAGACAGTGTATGTGTGTACTACTGCCCTGGGTAGCTAAATTAGCTGCACAGTAAGGCTGTTCAACATTTTGGTGGCTGTTTCATTTTGGAGGTGTTTCAAGCCATTTCAGTGCCTGAAACACCAAATCTTAATTGAAATGGAAGGCTCAGAAACATCTCCAAAATGAAATAACACAGTCAAAATTTTGCAGAAATGTTTCAGAAAATTTGGGGGTTTCAGAGCCAGGTTTGCAAGGAAACAGCTGTGTGCTGATGCCCTGCCGCGCAATTTGGCTCCATAGGGAGCAGAGATTCAAGCCCGAGGTATCATCGCCACTGCTGCCTGCCATGCATTGCCCTGAAGATTCAGAGCTGCACGGGGTGGGCAGCAGCAGCAAGAAGACCCTGGCATGGATCTCTGCTCCCTGAGGTGCAAGGTTGTGCGGCAGGTAAGTGCTGGTCTCTGCCACATGACTCGGCTCCACAGGGAGCAAAGATCCACACTGGGGGTCTCCTCGCCACTGCTGCCTGCCCCGCGCAGCCCCAGGTTGCTGGGGCAATGCAGGGTGGGCAGTGGCAGTGAGGAGACCCGTGGCATGGATCTCTGCTCCCTATAGAACCGAGTCACGCAGCAGGGACCAGCCAGGCTCTGAACAGCTGAATCACCACTGCTACCACCCTGAGAAGCTGCCAGGACCCTAGGTAAGGCTTCTGTGACCAGCACAGGTGCTGGACTCAGCCTCCCCTATTCCACCCAGCACAATTTGCCCTGCACCAACCCTGTGTGCAAAAAGTAGCAGCACAAATGTGTGACCCTGTTATTTTTGCAGTGGCAACTGCATGTTCCTGCATGTGGGGATGCATCCTTAGTGTCTACTTGGTGAAACAGCATTTTGACAGTGCTATGACATGGCAAGTATAGGTTGCCATTATAATAAGCCTGTCCAGCCCTCAGCCATAGGTCTACAAGTCCTCAATGGTACAGAAGGCAGAAGAAGATTGTAGAATCTCAACAGCTGCAAAGTGGACAAAATTTGCACTGGAAAGAGATTTCCAGTTATCTTGGCCTTGTTGCCACTGGATCAGTGTCCAAATCTGTCAGGAACCATGTGGACGCTGATGTGTAGCAGCTTCTCCATAATAAAATAAATCACACACAGGCATCTTCCAGTAAAACAGCTTTTCCAGCACATCTTTCAAGCCCTTTGGTGACCAGCTAGTGATGATAGGAGTAGGACTGTGATCATCTGGAAGCTCCTAGTCATGAACTAGCATGAAGGTGATAGTTACAAGAAGGTTGTCTAGCACTTGGATGAGGAAGGAGTGTGATTTGGCAGTGGTAGATGTGACTGAGCAGCCCTCTTCAGAATCTGTTCTGCTCACCCCACATGGGGAGGGGGCTAGAAAAGCTGCCATAAACTTAGTCTGCCTACCTTAAATATTTTAAATACCATATTTTCTCATATACAAACAACTTATTTGTGGATGGCAGAATGTAGAAAAAAATACATTTTCCCAGAGCCATGGCCTAGAGCTGACTTTTTCAAGATGACGTTGTGCTTCTAAATATCTACCATCTCCTCTTTACCACTCAGCAAGAAGGAAAGATGCAGTCCAGTGTTAATCCATTCCCAGCTACTCTCAGATTGGAAGTAGTTTTTATCTGCTGACCACTCACATTTCCAAAAGTAGTCCCCTAACATGGGAAAGGCAAGTGATGAAAAATAATATGCATAGCCTATATAAATAATGACAGCATTCCACCTTCTGGTCTCCAGGTTTCATAGTCAGTGCCTATTCCCCAGGCCTAAGACAATGAGCTTCTATGTGGTATCTACCACTCATAAAATTCCTGAGGAAAGAGTAACTCACTGAAAGGTGAACTGTCTGTGAATAGAAGCATTAAAACTTCTAGTAGATAATAACTTTGAAATATTTCTGAACTAGTCTTTTATTCCAACTAGAAATATCTAAGTCTTCTTGTGGAAAGGAACATCCAAAAATCATTTAACAAATATCAAAATGTTTTGGTTTTACTTTTCTGAAAGAAACGAGCTGCCAAATGCCTTGACTCCTGGGAGCTCCTTTCCCCTGAAGTTGGTAACAAGTAGAAGACAAAGACAGACCAGGAACTCCTGAGGAGACAAGGAAGATCCTTATTTTATAATAGGTCCTGAGATCCCCAGCTTGAACAAGGATTCCTAAGACTTTCAAAAGCTGTCGGGCTCCTTGCTGTGGAATAGGGAGCACAGAAGCTTTGATAGTGGGGATTTACTTGCAGGGTTTCCAGATTTCTGTATCTGTGACAGCACTGTGCCCCCAGATTCTGAAGCAGACAGCATATTGGGGATGACCCTGAACCACAGATCCCAAAAGCCTTGGAATTTCTGACTACAGATCAGTAAGTCTGGCAGGGCTAATGAAGAGTGACAGATCTTGGAAGCCCAAGGTCATCAGTACCTAGAGAAGTAGACTCATTCATAGTTTCATAGTAACTAGGGTCAGGAGGGACCTGAACAGATCATCTAGCCTGACCCCCTTCCACAGGCAGGAATGAATGCTGGGTTCACAAGACCCCAGACAGGTGATCATCCAACCTCCTCCTGAATATGCCCAAGGGAGGGGCGAGGACCACTTCCCTGGGAAGTTGGTTCCAGATTTTGGCCATCCTAACTGTAAAATATTGCCTTCTGAGCTCTAACTTAAACCTATTCTCCATCAGCTTATTACCATTGTTCCTCGTCACCCCAGGTGGCGCTGGGGAGAAAAGGGCTCTACCTGTTTGCTGTTGATCT